CAGGAGTTTCCTGCAACTTGAATTTTTGCAGAGCTAATGCCCTGAATTTTAGTAGATCTAATGTGTCTCTGTATTTGTTGCTGTTAGCATTTCCATCCGTATTGAAAGAATGCTTAGGAGCCCAGTCTGAATTAAGGCCCTACATAATATACAAACATAGCAAAAATATGGCTCTGTATGCAAAGAGTTTCTAATCCATTATAAAACACCTTACTATGAAATGCAATAGATAAATTCTTAAGCAGACTTGCTTTGTAAATAAAGAGATTGGAAATGAAAGTGAGTTCTAAAATACACTCAAAATTAAAGACCTTTAGAAGGACACCATCAATTTAGTAATCCACCTCTTATCTGAAAAGTTTATTACTACTTTTATAAGCAACACCCAAACTAACTATATATGGAAATATTAATGAGGGACAGGGGGAACCGTACAAGACTACAGTAAACCACAAACAACCCTCTAACATTTTCACAGGCAATTTTGGTCAAAGTGATCCCTACCTGCAGTGAAGGGCAAATGCAACCAACTTCTCTCCACCCCCAAAGGACTATCTGACTCTTCCCGCCTGTATCCCTGCTTTTAAGGGCCTAAATATGCGGTGCGAAATCTGACTGTTTGGAGAAGTCACGGAGGTTTCCCTAGAAGTGAAATACCAGGGCTTGCTGTCATGTCCTCGAGTGTCCCAGCAATATCGCTCTGCTTCCTCAGACTTGGAATAGGTAACTTTAGGATAGCAGGATGCTCACCGCAAGCACACAGCTTGGGCCTAACGCACTGCACTGCCCCAGAGAGCCCATCCCCTTCATGGCACTGCACAGGAACATACACAGGTGCGGCAGAATCCAGAGCAGTACTGCAGGTCCCTCCAGTCTGGAAAAGGGGAGCAGACAAGTCGCGGGCTAGCAGGAAATGCCTGTCTGGGGAACAGTAGGAGAACATAGGTGGGAGTGGGGCACGGAAAAGGGGCAGGGTTGCTGCCTTATCTGAACAAAGGCATCCTTACAGGAAATTGCGAAGTGGTGGAGGGATCCTTGGAGATTCTTCATAATTAGCTGTGGTTGTTTAAGCACGGTTCTGTCCTGAAAACTGACTAAAAGAGAAATTCTGAACTATTTTTCTAGCATTTCCTGATTGAAAGCTTATAATTAACTTTTTTTTTTTTTTTTTTTTTGTAACTGCTGACTCTGTATTCCTTGTAGCACATTGAATTCTTGTATTCGTGTAGAGCATCATCAATTGTGCGGCCATTGAGGCCATACTCTGCCTTCAGGGACATCTATGGTACCCCAGTGTAGGTGTGTAACTCACCACAGCTTGGCAGCTGGTGATGTACAAGATGTAACAAGACACACATCATTGTCTCCACACTGCTAAAAACCAGGAGACTTGGCTGCTTCTTTAATGTTACAGTAAGAGTGTATGGCTATGAATGCACACTACCACTAGATGTGTTCATTAAGAAGGGGCCTTTTTTATATAAGCATTCCGCTTTAAGATGTCTAAAGCTTTACAGGCCATGTAGAAGAACAGATTCCCTAAAATTCTGGATTCAGACCTTGCAGGAAATCTATTTAAACTGAAAAATGCTATTACAAGCATTAGCAAAAATCCTGAAAATAGCACAGATGAAAGCAAAATGATCTTTAGTCTCTCCGATGAGTGGGATAGAGATAAAGTTCTGCGAGCTTCCAGGGAGTAACAGGACATTATGCTCATTGGAGGCCAGTTGTTTTCCTTAGCCTTGTTACCCAAGACAAAGAGCAGGATCCAATGTCGATGAAGCAAGTTTTTTGGCAGAGAATGTGCAGACAGCTATTTCACACCCAAACATATATTTATGACAGTAATTTAATTACTTTGTGAGCAAAAAGTCAGTACTGAAGCTACTTCAGTAAATTTAAACAGATCAGGCTACAGACAACTGCAAAGATGAAAACCTGGTAACATAAGATAAGATAAAGAGATCTGGCTATATTCTACTGTAAATTAAACTCCCATCGACTCCATGTGCTTCAATCAATGAGTTTGTGTGGGTGCAGCTGATGGCTGAGCTTGGCCTAGAAACTCAGAATATTTAGTTACAACTTGATGATCTAGTTGGTCTTAACTCAGCCAAGCAAAGATTCACAGGGTATTAAATTGCTGCTCATGTAATTACATGATTAGGTGATAGTTTCCAGTTATGTCAACCTAGCTACAGTAGGTTTGAGAAAATTTTTTTCTCTCCTTCTTAAAACAACTGCAGATGGAGAAAATATTACCATAACATGGTTCAGATCTGCAGGTTCAGTTCCCATTTTCCCCATCCCAGAATGGGCACCGACTCACTGTGCCTGCAGTAGTGTTCATTCATTGTATGTGAGCAGGCAGTCATTTACCAATGTCCACTGAGCAAGAAGCCAGTGCAGCTGTGTTCAAGCTGGCTTATATGCCTTCTTGTTTGTAGACTGAGTTTTCTGAGACTGGTTAGCACAAAAATGGAGTGTCTGGAGTTGCATATTTCCCTATGATGTGCAGAGCAGAAGCTCTTATGCAAGGGGACTACACAGCTGTTTCTGTACGATTCTCCCCAGTTCTCGTAATCAGGGGAGGGAGGCCACAGCCTCCCTCTGTCACTTCCTTCCCTCTTCTTGTGAATTTGTAGTTGATATACACAGATGTGGTTACTGTCCCTTACCCTCTTCTACACCCATTTTCCCCACTCCTGTTCTCTTTTTCCATCGTCCTTATAGAAAGGGTTAATATTTTCAAAAGAATGGCCTTTGAATCTGCAAAACTTCATCTATGCCATTTCAGAACACAAGTGCATACTTGTAGAATTAACTGTTTGCCTGAATGCAAACTGCACTCCAGTGTACACAGGGCCCCAAACCAGCCTACAGAACTTGCTCTACGTCTGAGCCATATCTTTCACTAAATCTTGCTTGGTGCAATTTCTGGAATACTCCCTTTGAGAAGTCTGGAAAATGAAGGCCAGAGCATGCTAATTCCACCTCCTCTAAACTTGTGCTCTAACCTTAAACTTTAGAAATTCCAGCATACCCATTCTTTCTATGTTAATTAAACATATAGATACACGATGAGTAGAAATGTCTCATATGAACCTTAGAAAAACATGCCATTTCAGCTACGTATTTTGTTTTGGTTTTATATCTGTATGTGCATTTGTGCTTACCATTTGAATTGCTAGGTATGTAATACTAATAGCAATAAGAGAATGCCTAACGTACGCATATGTCATCCATTGCACTGCAGTTGACTGCAGCTTGCAATATGTCTTGTAACTTTCAATTATACAGTCCAATAAACTGCTGCTATCTAACACCACCCTACCCTTACGTAACCTGACAGCTGTAACACTTTGGCACCAGACAGCATTTTGTTTGCTTGCATGATTATAACCTCAAGGCAAGAACTGCACCTGGGTATATGACACAGTCTCGGGGCACTTTTATAACAGAAACTCCGTCTGTATTGCAAAGCTGGTTAAGTTTGTAATTTTATTGAGAGCTTTTCTGTCACATTTTGATATTAGTTAAAACCCTTGGGGAAATAATGGAAACAAAAGTATGATTTTGCCTATTTAAACTGCATCCATTCTAGCAGGACTTCCTTGTTAAACCTCAATCACCAAATCTTTTTGGTACAGTGTATTTCTAAGGCAGGAGAGATTTTCCCATTGCTTTGCAGTTTCTGAATGCAACTGCCTTCCAAGTGAAAATAAGCATTTCTAAGAGAACTAAATTTTATGTATTCAAATATGCATAGTTAGGAAGAATATTTGCAATACAGTCATTGGTGACACACAGTAATGGCAGAACACTAAAGCGAAGCAAGGACATTAACCAAAGCAACTGCATTGGCTAAGATGGAATGATTTTAAAGGAAGAAAAAAATTCTGACTCCCATGTACCATCAAAGAACCACCATTTTGTATATATAATATATATGTATCCAATTTAGTGTCAAAGTAATTAAGGTTGCTCAAGATAAATCTAGTCACATCCCAGAAATTGTATGATTCAGATCACCTGCAATTGCAGAGAAGCAAAAGTTTTCAGACTATAGATATTATTTGATATCTTCAATAGAGCGTTGGGTCCTTATTCAGCAAAGCACTTACGCACGTATTTAAAAAGGGAGATTTTCAAAAACAGAAATTAATTCTGGCAGAAATGAATCAGCTAGTCTATCTCAAACTAAAGGCTTTTCGTACCTTTGAAAATCTTTTCTACCAACTTTAATAGGACCTAAATGTATGCTTGAAGCTAAGCAGAAGCTTTAGAACTAAACAAACGTGATCTTAAGCATACATTTAAATGTGTTGCTGAACTTCATTCTGAGGGGAACCAACATAAAATGGAAGCTAGTTTAAATCCATTGAGAATACTCCAATGTGAATTATTCAGGTATCCTCACTTCAGTTAATTGTTCAAGCTGCAGAGCCAGTGAAATATTTTGATAGAGCAATATATGATATGAAGGCAGCATAACAGTAACACACACTCTAATCTCCAGAAAGCTGTCTCATTCCAGAGTTTCAGCATTAAACATTAAAACCTTTTTGAACTGTCTTTCATAACTTTTATAGTAATTTTTTCATTGCTTATAACAACAATCTGGAACTGAAAACTTACTACACAGAGTTAATTCCCTCTTCACTTTCAGATGCAGAGATTCGTTGTAGAGACTGTGAGATCTTGTTTTGGCTGCAGGTTCTGATCTGTATGCCATCATCGCACTTGAAAACTGTTTTCTGGGGAGAGAGAGGTCCTTATTAGCAGACATTCTTCCTAGTCACAGAGCAGGGGAAAATAAAGAGCAAATGTTCATTGCAGCAAAGGCCACAATGGCGCACGTGTCACTAATCTAAAATTCTAGCATTGTTTCAATATTTAACGTTTTCAGCTATACCTGGACAGTATCAGGAGTTGCGAACTAACCAATAACATTTGACAGACACACTCAAGGTTTTACACTTCTCTTTCAAATACAGGCACTTGGATGTGGGTGTGTGGGACAGGCTGTCCTTAGCCGAGGAGCCCATGGTGGGCCCATGACAGTATCGGTTGGATTTGCAATGGCAGTCACCATAGCAGTGTATGTGTCTGGGGGGGTTTCTGGTAAGTGACTTTTTTCTCTTATATAGCATTTATTGCCATGGTTTGAAGGCTACCTTATTAAATTACTTCCATATAATGGGATAAACAATTATGTATCTAGCAATAGCAAGCACCATTACAGCAGAGTCTGCATCAGAGTTTCGCTAGTAAATCTTTTGTGTTCTTCTTGTTTCCCTCTATTCTTTGTGTTTGACAAAATCTTCCACCAAATTCTGATCTGAGATACAGTGTGCAAACCTTGGCAGACCTTTGGCCTTTATGGAAAGTGAGCTGGGCAAACCAGAAATCTTGCTTTGAAAATTCTGTCAATAGAGGATCCTGGACAGCATGAGCACTGCATTTAAGGAAAGAACCATGAAAAGGTTACAGAATCCAGCAGTCACCAGCTAAAATGGTTGCCAGCCAAGTAGAAGGTAGAATGACCCACTACTAATGGGTATAACGAACAGGGTTGACCTTACAGGGTGCAAGTTATCTGTTCATGTCCTATGACAGGCAGTAGCAAGTCTGCTCCTGTCTGCTTATTCGCAGAAACAGCAGATCATAGAAAGCAGAAATAGCAAAAAGTTTATCACAGCATGCATCTGTACTACTGGATCTTTTTACTGTCTTTGCCCCTTTGTTTCTGTTACTACGTTTCTTCAATATATATTGGTCAGTAATCTCTGTTTTGTCTGTAGCTGGGCTAACTAATCAGTGTCCAGATGTGCCATATTGGATGGTGCTTTGTCTTCTATTTCCACCATTCGGTTTGGCCAAATTAGTATCAGAAACATTAGCACAGCTGCATAACATTTAAATTCTCCCTTTAAAGTAGAAAATGATGTGTTGTAATAATACACAGTGTTGTGTATTACCCTCTTAAAGCAAGCTGTGCCCTGATACTCCAGTTCTCATAGAGGCATTTCTTACCCTTCATAGAGGATAAAGCCAATCTGGGCAGATATATCTATGTATAACTAGTCCCTTATAAAAGTTGCTGTAGCAGAAATTATCATGGCTATTTCTCTTCTCTTTTACAAACTATTTTACAGAGACACCATGCATGAGGAGGTTTCTAAGTTCACATTAGAAAGTGCTCAAGATACAGCAAAAGAGGCAGTTTTGTTACTGTCATTGAAACAGAGCAGAATGGTTCCTTCATACCACACAAAGTTAATTCAGCAGTACATTCCTATTATCTGAACAACTTTAAACTACAGCTTTTGGTTTACACGTAGGCAGCTAAACGCTTCTAGTGCAGTATCATGAAAAAACCTAAACTGTAAAGATACTAACCTGTTCTACATTTATGTCTTTAAGGCATATTCATCTCCATTATATAGAAGATTAGAGTTCAATCCCAGCAGGGCAGAGAAGTTGCAGATGTTGCAGTACTGTGCTTCCTGTGTTTTTCCCATGACAAAGGAGTCTGCATGCAGTGCATTTTCTCTGTGAAAGAATAAGAACAGATATTTCAATAGGCTGTGACTATCCAACATATGATTACTAGTGGACACTTTAGAATATCAGTTCCTATATAGAAATTGTTAGCAAATTCTTTGGCCCTTTGGCCATGAAGTCTCATGTTTAAGTACTGCTAAAATATTTTCCATCAGTCCTTTATGAAATTCTAAATTCATGGTAATGTAAAATATATAGTCTGCACACTTGGTGAATTTGAGCTCTTTTATCTAGGAAAATTCTCCTTTTTGCTTTTCCTCTCTCTAATTTTCCTCAATGTCTAAATAATTTTCCACTATTTCTTCTAACTTAACATTTCAAACAAACTCATGACTGTGGTCACTGCAACTACAAAAGAATAGGGAACACACTGTCCAAAGCTGACTTGTTTTTTTAACCGGGAAACTTCCAGTGGCACAGGAACCAAGAATCTTTTAACTCCCCTATGTCAGTATGAGAGTCTTCAACTAGACTTTTCCTTTCCAGATTTAATGTTAATCAGACATTTCTAATATTATTATGACTTGTCCTGGCCATCATAATCACTCTGTATTATATACAGGTGGGGAACAATATCAGGTGTTGAAAGAAAGGAAAATGATTCATTCCAGCCAGAGTACAGAACAAAAGGCAAGACAACAATTTATCAAAATTCACATGAAGGGCTGTTAAATAAGGTGCCATCCATCTATTTGCTCTCTGCTGAAGAATTTGAAACACAGTGAGGAATTCAAAATTAATTCAAGACTGGTGCTACTAGGTCAGAGTTTTGGAAATGACACAAAGAATGTTTTATCCAGCTTGTTATCTGTGTGCGTTTGTTCATTATGTATCAAAGGTGCCTGGATTTCATAAGATAATGACTCACTGACCTGAAGTGCAAACACAGAAACTGTACATAAAGGTCCTTTCTCCATCATTAGCCTTTGACAGACAAAGGTCACACTTTTTCACGTATTTTATTAAAGACAAAGGCCATTTTTTTTCTGTTAACCATACAGGTTGAAATGAGACTTTATGTGGAGGATAAACAATGGATCTGCTATGTCCTTGCAAAACTTGGGTTCTACTGTATTTTTACTGTGGAGTACTGTTTCATCTGTTTATTTATTTGGCAGTTTGTATTTCTTAAGTATCAACTACATATTTGTAAAAAATGAAGTTTTCCAAAAGCATTCAACACTTTTTTTTCCATTTTGATAAAAGATGTTGGGGGAAGTGACTAACATGTGACATAGTAATAAATATATTTTAGAAACTGAAATAGTCACAAAGAATTCCAACATTGCTGAAATCTTTTCCATGTGTGAGTTTAGGTGTAGCTATCTCTAAATACAAAGGAAGGAAACTCCACAGGAAATAGAACTCTCCGTTTCAGCACAGCTACTTCATCAGTTTCCTTATCATGGACCTTTCTGGAGGGTGTAAGAGCTTGATGAAAATGTGAGATGAACTATGCACTGCTGTTTCCAGATCCCATCTAGGCATAGCTCATCAACAGCCAGCACAAAGCTGGACAGTCCTAACATTATTTTATTTTATGTTCATGAAAACTGAGTTCCTAAGTAACCCCAGGTTGAAGACAGGAACATAAACATGACTTAAATCCAGGGTACTCTAGATCAGCCTCAAGATACATGATCGAGCCAGTAATAGTCCTTAATCTTAATAATGCCTGCTAAACTGAATGAGTGGTCTGCTGCCCCAGTCCTCCCTTAAAAATAAAAAGTCAAAGCCCTTGAGGAGAGAGAATATGTGCAGAATGATGGACCCTTGCATCACAATCAATAGGGCAGATTTAGGCTTTTTCTAGAAGAGTTGTCTATAGATTATATACTGCAGGACAGCAGTCTGATAAATAGCACAGTCTGCAAACATCAAGAGAGAAGCTGGATCTTGCTGGCTTTACCCCTCCCCCCTCTAATTTCTTCCAACTTGTTTCAGTTTAATTGCAGTCAGCATTTAATTGCAAAATAACATCTAGAAAAGCATGTACTAGTCTTGTGCTCAAAAATGCTCACATTTTTACAAATCCTTCACCTATTCTCATGTATCTGAGTCATCCGTATGACTTCTTTTGTGATTTATTTTTCAGGTGGTCACATAAACCCAGCTGTTTCATTAGCCATGTGCGTGACTGGAAGATTAAAATGGACCAAATTACCAATTTACATGTTAGCACAACTCCTGGGAGCATTCGTTGGAGCAGCGGCTGTCTTTGGGATTTATTATGGTGAGTACACCTTAGACATGCTCACAGGACAAACTAGAGGTCAGGCAGTCTCTAAGGCCCCAATTTTTCAATGAATGCCAAACGGGCAGAGGACTCTCTTCACACATGGCTAATGGCAGGACTGAAGCTAAAGCCATAAAGAAGAAAGGAAGAAGCATTAAGAGTCTGAAGGAAAAAAAAGGCTCAAACATTCCAGGTATCTTACAACTTCTCTGAAACACTAATACTCCAGGAAATGTTCTGAAATTCAGAAAAATTATTCATGGGAAATCAGATACTCTGAGATCATGTATTTCTCAGTAAGGATTTTAAATTACTTAATAGCCAGGATATAGGGCTATTCATCTTCCAAGCAAATTAGAAACATTAAAGACCTGATCCAAGTGCCTGTAGGCAAGTATCACCAACATCGTTCATTGAGGTTACAGGATATGAGATCAAGTCCCTCCTGACTAAACTTCAGACCACCCTAGAGAGGCGGTTCTCCAAGGCAACGAACTCCAGGTAGAGTGATAAAGGGGTCACATATTAGTAGGGAAAAAAAGAAAAAATAAATTACTCCTATCCTTGAGGCATATTTCTTTTACACGGTGTGCCACAAAGGGAAAAAATGTAGTAACAGACTCCCTGACTTGATGTATCCACTCAGTTGGATCAGTTGCAAAACTCTGCTTCTACTGACCCAACCCATCTCCTCCTCAAAAGCCTCTCTCTTATGGGCATTATGTCTGCAGACAGTGCTGGGTCTAGGCACAACAGAGAAAATTTGAAAATGGAAAAGCCTATTGCATATCAGCTAGGTGCTTAGTACCAGTAGTAATCATGAACAGAAAAATCTTTAGAAACTGTGTTACCTGTTTTGGGGTTGAGTTTTGTTTGTTTGTTTGTTTAGGTTTGGGGGCAGGGGGTGTGTGTGGGGAGTTGTTTGTTTTAAGGTCAGTATCAGATTGTGGAAACTGTGGGAATCCAGATTCAGATGGAAATCCTATTCTAAGTCCCCCTCAAGCCAGACAGCCAGGATTACAGCTGTGGCCAGGATGTAGCAGTATGTCAACATGCACATGGGGTTGGGAGTGGATTCACTGTGTTCTGCCAAAGGGTAGCAGTAGGATAGGGAGCCGACATAGGGAACTTAGGGCTAGGGTTAGAGACTTCTTCCTGTTATTCAGGAGTGCAGAGTTTTCTCATACCCCTACCTCTGCTCAAGTACTGTGCCCTCCTTTTGTTCTTACTAATTCCCAAACCTCTTCCGTACTTTTTCCTTCCTGCAGCTTACCCGAGTGTTGTGTACTCATTGAGGTCCACTGAAAATTCACTGATATAAAAAACAGACGTAGGAGCTTAACACCTTCATCTTCCACATTCACATATATGTGAGCTAGGTGCTTTCATTTTCAGCGGCGTCCCTGAAAGAGTGAGGGAATATATATGCTAGGCTGCCGAACATGAGGCCTTTCTAAAGGTGTACAAAATAATTCACAGCTGAGAAATTTTCTTTTCCTTATCCTCTTTTTTCTAATAGTTCAATGCAACAAAATAATCTGACACTGCAAATGAGAGAGCCTGACCAAAGTAAACAACTAAATATTCTCTGCCATGTCATGGCCTTAAGCAAAGCTAGAAAAAACAAGGGCAAGAAGAAATAGATTTGTCTACTAGCTTCAGGAGCAGCTAACCATCCTCACCATGACTTCCATGGGAGACAGGGATCTGTTCCTTTAATCACAGATATCACCTCATCACTGGATCCACTAGTGAAATAAAGGCATAGTGTTTATTATTCATATCTGTCTATGCAGATTTCCGAGTGTTTCGTCTTAGTGTCTTCCTATTCCTAACATTTCAGGGCTTGCCAAGGCAGCAAATTATTCCAACATAGAAGTCATATTATTCTGTTTAAAATACGCTTTAAATATACTAACATAAATATACATGTATGTACAATATACATAAATCTTTACTATATATAAAAATACACCAACTTAAATATACTAAGAACTGAAGTTTTGGGGCTAGCCTCTTCCCTCACATCTTGGATGACTAGCCCACACAGAGTGAAAATTTCAAACTCCTTTAGAAGAGGAGGTCTCAGGAGAGTTCTTTCCCAGAAGAAGTCATTGCACAACTGTCAAATGGAATAGCAGTAATTCCTGGTGGCTGGGAATCCACACAGTACAATCAGGACGCTATGCATTTTTTGGGGCATCATGCCAAATACAGCACCTCTTACGGAACAATGCAACTGTGTTCAGAATCAGAAAACGCTTCCTGGCACTGACTTTGGAGCACTGAGCAGGGGTAAAAAGAGCCCCATGTTGAAAGCTGTGATACATAAAACAAGTACTATAAGGCACAGGAGTCAAGATGAGACAGGAGGGTACAATTAGTACATCACCTGAAATCCATTAACTATGGCCCCAGAAAAAAATATCAGTTTCAGTTTAGAATGTGAAGTACGCAGATCTATCACATATATTCCAGTCCTAGAAAACCTAGTGTTTATGGAGAAGTACCACCAGGTAATGGCTGTTTTCTATAGATGCCTTTATGGAGTATAGCAATGGAACGCTTGAAGTCACAGGACCTAACGCAACAGCACATATCTTTGCAACTTATCCAGCTCCATATCTGTCCCTCATAAGTGGATTTGCAGATCAGGTAAGTGCACTTGGTGTCTTGATTCTACAAATTAAACATACTGAAAACTGTAAAATGAAGCAGTAAAAAAAGATCTCTAATGGGTATGATGAATCTCACCGTTTTGGTCATTCATCACTGTGTACAATAGCAACGAGAATGCAACGCTGTTTGCAGGGGTTACATGTTAGTAATATTTTACAAGCAAGATAATTTCAGGTTGTTCTTTTCACATACATCATGTTAATTGTTGCACTCTACATGTCTTTAATACAATATATGTAAGAGGTTTTCCCCAGCATAAATCAATGTTTCTCTATAAACTTCAGAAGAGCTATGTCCATTTGCATAAAAATCCAGCCCATTTTGTGGACCTATTATTCCTTAATGCTTAAGCAGCAGTTTAACACACCTTGAACAACTGAGTTTTCTGCTACCATCAGCCTCCTCTCCAACCTGCTCTTTGCAAATAGATTTGTATTATTTGTTATTTTTCAAATGACTGAATCTGGAAAAATCTCCACTTTATTTCCAATCTGTATCCTCTAATCTCATTCATCCAAGAGTAAAAAAATGAAGTTTCATATCTTCTATCTACTTCTAATCAATTTACCTGTCTTCTTCAGGCATACATAAAATAAATACTGTGCAAGTAAGCTATGAAAAACTAGGGATTGGTGGAGCACAGGAATTCCTTACGTAAAGGTCTTGAAGATTGTGCAATCTGGCTTCAAAAAAATCCAAACATTGTTTTGAAATTTCGTAAGACAGAATTCTGATCTTTGGATCAGTCAACAGTCTTTTCCATGAGATCTTTTTACCTGTGGATGTTTTAAAACAAAATTAAAACCAGATGAAATCAAATCAATTTTTAAAACCTCCAAACTTAAACTTCTTTAAATCAGTATAGAAATTGAACTTTTTTACATTGCTGAAACTTCTGTTTTTCCCCTTAATTATTAGCAAAATCGACATTTACAAAGCATTTGATCCAAGCAGAGCAGCACCTCCATCAAAGTAATTCCAATAAAATTTCCTTCATCAGCTCAATTTGCATATCCAATACAGACTTCACAGTAGTTACACATGCAACCTTAATTTAGGTAATTCCCAATTTTTTAGCTGCTTATTTTTTTCCCCTATGTTACACAATACCTGAATAAAAGAGGTGCATGTTTAGTCTAATTTATCAGCGTAAGCTACAGTCACATAAAACACTTTGATATCAATGTAACTGATTCTATTGACATAGCAGAACTACCAAAGATCAAGTAAATAGAACTGTTAAGTTGATAGGAAAAAGAAGTGGAAACAAAGCATCAGACTTCACACAGGAAATGCTTTTTAAATCCTCTATTCTTTCCACACCAGGTTGTTGCAGATTTTTTTTTTTATACACCCTCAGCACATTTCTTGTCTTTTTCTTTCAGTACAGATATCAAAACCACTCATTACTGTGAAGTAGAGAGGCACTGCGTTCCAAATTTTGCTACTCCGCATAGTGGGATAAATCTAAATACCAGCTTTAAGCCACCACATTTCACAGAGATGCCATAGCCCTTCTTTTCATTATTGGAAGGAATCTGCACATATTTATTCAATATTCTTTCCTTTGCATTGGCCAGGTGATGTCAACAGCTGTTCTTCTTCTGGCTATATTCGCTATTTTTGACACCAGAAATAATGGCGTACCAAAGGGCCTGGAGCCAATTGCAGTAGGACTTCTTATAATCGTTCTTACTTGCTCCTTGGGAATGAACAGTGGCTGTGCCATGAACCCAGCCAGGGATCTAGGCCCAAGGCTCTTCACAGCCGTTGCAGGATGGGGGATGGAAGTATTCACGTAAGTATGCCTGGATATGAAGTAAAATGCTCTTGGCTAAAATTGCTTCCTAGGAAAGTAAGATCCTGATTCAACATGGTACCAAGTCATACTTTATACACGTATAAGTAATTCTTTGCATACCAGAAGCAGCTATTCATGCACTTTAAGCCAGACATCCTCTAGGAACTGGGCTTTAAAAAGGATTTCCTGCTTCTAGGGCAAATCAAACATGCATTATCTGTAATATCAATCATTGTTTCAAGCAGACCTTTCCCAAAATATTAGAGATTCTTAGAGGTCACCGAAAATATAAGAGTGCTTTCTTCTCTTGTCCTGCAGCTTTCAGAAAAAAAAAAAAGAAATTGTGAGAGTTAGGTGGGAATATTTATTGGATGCTGTAAAAAACATAGACATATCAGACTGATTTAGCCTATTATTACTACTGAGTTATTGCAGAAATATACAACATTCTAAAAGCCTGACTTCCTGCCTGGAAGCGAAGGAGTGAATGAAAGAAAGCTCCCTTCATTTTCCCACATTTCAGAGCACACTCTCAAATCCCTGTGCATGCATGTGTGCACGCACACACACGCTCTTGGCTGGCCAAATGCACAGCTAATTAGTTGCACATCAAATCCACAGCTTACGCATATCCAATGTAAGAGGCACTCTGGGATATCTAAGTAAGAGTAATCTGTCATCAGGAGGTAGATCTTTTGGTTTATTTTTGTATAGTTTGTTTTTCCAGTTATTTACAAGTAGGAATCCCCAGAAGTACTGTAGACCACTAGAGAGCTCTGGTTAATAGAGATTTCATTTTAGCTATTTCACCAAGTACAAATAATCTGTATTTATTTAGTATGACTTCCATCTACACAAATCACATGCCTTAGTAGAGGAGAGCAGTTGCAAAGCTTTTCTTATACAAAAAAAGCTAGGCACGGCATAGAAGAAATGGCCACACAGTCACGCCAAAGGCCAGATCCAAAGCTCGAATGTAACACAGCTCTGGGGAGCTGTTGGCAGGAGGTCAGCTCTCTAGCCCAGTTGCCTCCAAACTTTTCCTCCCCTGAAGCTCGTACCACTGTACCATTAAACTGCACTTTTGTTTAAAACAGCATCACACAGAGTGACATCCCACACCTAGGATTCTCCTCTCTCATGCCTGTTTAATTATACATAGCTGTTGACCATGATATTAATTATAGTGCCATGTGTTATAATTTGTAATGTATTACAACGTTGGCTATTACATTCCTGAAAAAGTTTGGGACCCTGATTGTACTGTGGTCTAGTCACAGAATACCTATGAACTCCCCTCCTTTCCAAAAGTAAGGTCTTACTCATTTACCTTTGAGAAATTACAAGAAAACTCTACATCTGTACCAATATAGGTTCTTCCCTAGTTTAGTTTTAGGATTTATATACAGAGAGGGTCTGTAAAGACCATACTAAGAAATTTAAAAATGGGAACATAAAAAATGAGATATGAGATCTCTGGTCATTGCCAGAATAAACTTACAGCAGTCTCAGTGATGCATAACTTGAGGAAGAAGTCTTCCTCCCTGCCTTCAGTTACAAGGCTACAGCTATAACCAAGTTCAAGGGAATGATACAACAGGAATATGTTCTCATCTATTTACAGCACAGATCCAGCTGGGACTTAGGAAGAACTTGAGCTTTGTTAGGTAGCTGTAAGCTTTGGATCAGTCACAAGCCATGGGAGAAGTCTAAATGATTGTAGCCAGGATCCTGAACCGCCTGATGCTCTGCTGGCATTACATGTGCTTGAGAGACTTGAGTGATGCAGCAACAGTTGACAGCTAAACCTTGGATGTCTCAGTTTAACTGGAATTCACAACCTTGAGGCAGGTGCTTAAGCTCTCTAGTAAAAGGCACCCCCAGGAACTAGGACCTAAGCATGAAACCTCCACAGTGACATGAGTGGAGCGCTGCACAAACCAAGCAATAGGAAATACTGAAGAGACATTGAACGTTCACTGGAGAGAGGATGGAAGCATCTCACCAGGTGATTGAGTCACTCTGTCCAGGTCAGTGTGTGTTCAAGTGCTGCCTACAGAGCAGCAAGGGACCACCAGGAAAGCCTCACTTTGGAACAGGTCACGTACAGAAGGATGAGACTCTCTACACCCTGATCCCAAGCAAATGCGCTAAACATTGAGATAAGCTGTTCACAGGGGGGAAATCCCCTCTACCCTTCTTGGTGCTTGCAGGTCCAATAAATTCTGGTTTTATCATGTTTGCAGGGAGGGAACTGCAAGTAGACTGGAGAGGAGCTCTTCTGCTGGACCAAGGAGTTGCCCAAAAGACAGGGAGGCAGTTGAGCAGGGGTTTTCTAAACGTTGCTGTTATTACATTTTGCACAAAGGCACCTGAATGGGCAGTTTCCCTGAGAATCAAGCCAGGGCACACAGGCTATGCAGGCTATGGTGTGCTTTCCCTAGCCAGTACACCTGGATTTGTTTTGGTAAAAGGCTCCCATTAGAAGCTGTTCTGTCCCACTGCAGCTGGAAAGGGGGTGTCTGTCCAGCACCCTACAGAGAGCACCATTTCATAGAAGAGATGCAGTCAGCGCTGTGGCCTGCTCCTGCAAACTGTTCCTCAACCTGCTGGGAGTAGGTGTCACAGATGGCAACTGTCCCCATGATTAGAGACAACTGCTGACTTTAGACACATACATGTCTATTATGATTTGTCGTCCTAAAACCATGGAGACAACCAGGAGTCTTTCTTAAGCACATGCTTAATATTCTAATAAGCTTAAGAAAAGTTTTGAGCAGTGAAGTTCTGTCTGTAGTGAGAAAACAGCCAGAGCTTGGAGTACAAATACCAGACTCTGGATTTTGGCAAGTGTAACAGAGCACGAAATGGCAATGAGAAGGTGAGAAGTGGCATTTCGCATCAGCATTCGAAGCCGGCCGCAGCATATTTCACCCCTGGTTCATTACGGCTTCTCTCCGGCTCTGACGGGCAGCAGCAGGGACAGCC